TGAGAACAGATACGCCTTTGCGTGGTGGTGTCTGCTCATGCGAAGCCTAGGGACATGATTATTGGAATCCAATATCACAAGGTCTCTTTTCGCACCGCCTTCTTCCCTTCCAACTCAGTCAAAATGCTCGGGAAGCTTCAATTCCTTCACCAGAATTTCCTGCATTCCTCACCAATCGATAATCTCCACAACCCAAAACCGTTCGCCGTCCGTGTACTCGTCTCTGCACCCATTATCGTCGCCATACCCATCCGTAGAGGTCAGTATACTCGACGACGCAGGAGTTAGCATCCCCGAAAACGGCGGGGAACAACAAGGTAAAAAATGGTAAGAACGGGCCTAGGCCCTGTTGCTGGTGGTGGAAAGAGAGCCATTACCATTTCGAATTAGATGATTGGAAGGGCCAGCGCGTCAGGGCTTCTGTCTGGTGGTGGTGGTGGAAAGAGAGCCATTACCATTTTGAACCAGATGATTGGAAGGGCCAGCGCGTCAGGGCTTCTGTAACCCTCCTTGCCTTCTTGTATTCCGCCTATCATGCGCTCCCCCGAGCTGTAGCCCTTGCCTCAGCCACGGTGACATCTTTGAGCGGCACGGTCGTGTGGGAGGTGAGGGGCGGCAAGTGGACTGGGCTGTCACCCGATTTATCGTGTGATTCCTTTGTTGTCGAGTGCCGAGAGCAAGGCGGAAACGCCTTCTCTTCTAGTGTGCTAGGTCCACGATTCGTGGAGATCTTCTGGCAGCGATGCCAGGATTTTTTTTTCATGTTAATGCTGCCGGAGGGATACCCTGGCAGCGTGAGTGCCGACTATATTGAATATTCTCTCTGGCGAGCGGTCCAGGGAATTGCCAGTCAAATAAGTGGCGTTCTTTCAACTCAGGTTCTTCGCATCCTTAGTTGCTGGCCTAACCATTAACTTTTCTTTTTGCGAATCTCTGTCTGGTTATTTCTTATTAAAAATTATCAATTTGTAGTCCTCTATTGTTTTCCATAGATAGACAGATTTTTTTTTAAAAATATACATTTGTTGTGAAATATATCATGAACGAGCGAATATTAAAACATTTATATGTAATTAACAAAACAAATGCCCACTAGCACTTTTAATTTTATGAATAGCATAACATTTCTTTTTAATGTTAATGCATGCATGATAATACTCAGAGTTTCTGTCCCCATCAAATGCCATAGAATATTGACATGTGCATTTTTTATGAGCATGCTGATGCAAATTGGATCAAGTTCTTCAGGCAATTTTTTTTAACTTTTAAATCATGATGATTGTTTGCATAGGCTATTATTAAGTTTGTCTAAATCTTGCTGAACTATATGCTTTGTGGTTTCTGGATTTAAGAGCTGGAAGGATTTGGGTGACATTAAGCTAAATGATTCAACTGGTTTTTCATCCGATTGCATGCTTACAATCCCTCAATCTAAAACCGACATGATTATGGCACAGACAACTGAAAAAATATTTTATTCTAAAAAAATTATGAGCTCCTGGACTTTTTTGTGGGCATTAGAATTTGGTTGCCTTTCTTTTTTCTTTTTCCGTCCTTACTTATTGTGTGAGCCATGGAAGAAGAAATCGGAGAGTGATATGATTCTGCATGCTCGTGTTGCCATCATTAATGTGTTTTTGAGAACATCTCATCACCCTCCACCTTCTTCCAGAGCTACAACACCACCCCATGTTGGGGAATCCGCTATTGCTCACCTTATCAAGTAGGAATCCTTCAATGTTACTATTGTTGCATCTCCTCCCACAATTTATGATAGGAGGTGACATATAGATCAAGTTTGGAATAGCAAAATGGGGGGAATGCAATGAAATAATTATCTAAATTTCTCAAATAGCTCTAATATGATTTGGTAAATCCTACTTAAAAGTAAAAAAAAAAAGCTAACTTTGTAATCTAAGAGAACTAAAGGTTTTGGATGAAAAAAAAGATCATGTTTGGTATGATTTAAGATAAATACAACATAATTCCCGTTTTAATGCCAATACCAAACTATCACTCTGTTATGAAACTAATTTGTAGTTCAAAATGCACCAGGTTTTGAATTGAACAATTTATAACTACACATCTTATGTGGAATGCAACAATTTAAGTGCTCGACAGACTTTGATGGTTGAGAATTTTGCTTACATGGCATATCAAATGAGTGATGTTAACTATATGTTTAATAATTGTGGATGAAGAAGTGTTGATCTACTTAGAACAAGTGAATGGCCAAATTTATTGTTTGCTTTGGGTTTATGTAGGTAGTGAATGAATGAGTATACAAGAAGTAATCTCTTCTACATAATTAGAGATTTTTGTAGAAAGCAATTATGAAGGTGAATGTAAAGTGCGCCTTGATGATAAAAAGTGAGTGAGATAGAAGATAGTTGAGTAAGAGAGGGTAGTGGATGGTCATTCCCATTGGTGGATCCATCATGATGGTGCGTGTGAGATGATTAATTTTAGTATAATTAACTTCATTTGTTCCTTCATATGTAATTATCAATTTACCACAAATTTTGTTTGTGATATCTAAACTGGAGTATCCTTTCGATGCATAACAAGGGGAAACTCATGTGCCATGTGGATCTACTCTTTGTCGTTGTGACAAATATCTAGATCTTGCTTTGATACCATTTGATAAGTATGCTGCACCAAGACATGGTATTTTGCACTCAAGAATTAGTGTGACAAATAAAACTATTAAAAACAATGGAAGAGTGCCCGCAATATGTAAAATCACAATAAATTTTAACTACTCTCCCCAAGTGGTATACTTTTATATTTAATCTCCCCCATATTATGATTCTTTTGCCTCTAGTTGTTGCTTGGTACATTCTTTTGCTCCTTTAGCGGTCAAGAAATCATCACATTTTTATGGAGCAAAACCAAGAAAATGTATAAAACAAAATAAGAATAGCTTTTTTATGACACGTTGGTTGTGAAGAAAGATTCTACGCTTTGTAGAAGTCGCGCACATATGAATTAACAAAATGGCTCCTAGTTTTCTCTTGCTCTAGACTTTGGCTTTAAAAAGCTTGAGAAAATTAGAGTTTTTCAATGTGGATTTCTAACATTTTTGTAGTCCCAAATAGGTGTTTTTATAAATCTAAAGTTGCTTCAAAAACCTTCCAACAACTATACAGAAAGTTCTCATGTATATATTACCCCATGCAAATCATGGATTAACATCTATGTTGCATGGATTTAGATATGGGGTAATGGGACACCAATCAGACCTCTAGACTGTTTCATACACCTTTTGGTGGCTGCCGCCACCCCCCCTCACCTCTAGGTCGGTTGAAAGTTAATGTGCATGGGGCCCTTTTCCCATCCTACACAGATGGCATTGGCTTGGTTATTCGGGACGAGAAAGGTGATCTTCTTGTGGTTGGGAGAACTATTGAACATCGGGACTCTTCTCATGTTGACCTAAGTATGATATCCTCCATTCGTCACTATATTAACCTATGGATGCTTGAAGTGAAGGGAATCACTATTGAAAGTGACAACGTCAACATTGTTGACTTACTACGAAAAGCTAAAGACACCAATTATTGGATGAGGCCCTTCTCAAAGCCTGAAGGGCTTCTCGTTTTCGGTTTTTCTCATTCAGGTTCTATTTTTACACTTGAAGAAAAAATATAGTTGCCCATACTTGTGCACAAAATTCCATATATGAGAGTTTTGCTATTAGGAATGTGGATTGTTCACACTTCCTTTACTATTCTCTTTCTTTTGACCGGGCCCATGTTTTGCCTATGTAGGCCCTTTTTGTACATTTTGTAATCTTTTTGCTATTTTATCAATTGCAAAATGCACATTTTCAAGGATACGAATATGGGGACACGTACACGCGATCTATCCATTATTGAAAATATAGGATACAAACACGCTTCAAACACACTATTATAATAAAAATTATATATATATATATATATATAATATTAAGAATAATAGAAAAGAAAAAAAGAAATTTAATATCGCTAACTTTTAAAAATAAAGAGCTCGTTTGACATGACCTTTGTTTTATCTTTTAGTTGATATAATTAATTATTATTTAAAAAATGAATTAAATTTTATTTAAAAATAATCAAATTGTATAAAAATAAACATATATTATTATGTATGCATAAGGACTTAAATCCACTTGATCAATTATTCATTAAACTAAATAAAAGCATCAATGTTTTCCTTGGCACCAAATTCTTATGTATTTACATATCTATCACCTAAATTTAGATTTTTATATTTATACCACCCAAATCTGTTAAATCTCATCTAATGTACTACTACGTTCAATTTTAAAAAATGAAATATACATTTCATTTATATGTAAGATAACATATATATAAAATTTGAAATTTAGGTGTTAGATATGTAAATACATAAAAATTGTCTAATATGTATGTAAGTATTTCTTAAATTTTACATATATATATATATATATATAAATATATATATATATATTAATTTTAATCTTTAAAATATTTTTTAGAAAATTTTAATTCTTTAATTTATGACACACGTGTTCTGCTCATTGCATACACGTGTCATGTGTATGTATTTTTTTATTTAAATTGGAGACTTTTATGACGAGTCAGAGTCGTTTCCGTGTCCGATACATGTTCAACACTACACAACTTCTTAGTTAGAAGTGTTCATGCATCATAGTTTAACAATGACCTATTAAATAGTTTATGGAGACATGCTAACTTAATGAAATTTTTAAACATATAGCGGCAATCTGCAAGCTAGCTAAGAGTGGTTCATCCAAAAATTTAACGCCACTCTATTGACAAATTTGTGGCGATCTAGCTTGTTATACTATCTACAACAACTCGTTAACTAATTTAATGTTTTGAATTTTGATTTCGATAATATTTACCCTTGTAATTTATTTTATTGATTGCTTGGATATGGGTAGGATCATACTTGAGTGAAATTAATTTATAATATTATTTTATTAATTATAACAACATTTCTTAAATTTTAATTCAAGCAGGTGTTCTAAGTGTCATATGGCTAGATATTTTAACCATTATTTGATAAAAAAAAGAAAACAAGAAGCTATAACTTCTCATCAATTTTGATTAATTTTGACTCCTTTTTCGTTGTCTTTTTGTCTTTATATTCATTGAATGTTATTTCTTATTTTGCTTTCTTAAACTACCACAATTATTGCATCCTATCAATCTTATAATCACTTCTTTGAAACATTTGTTCCTCTAGTGGACTATTAAATGTAGGGCTTCTATTCTACACTTAGTGACCTCTTGATTACACCTTGTTGAATGCCTCGTCTCCCCTGTATTGATTGAGTATTCTTTGTATAATATGGAATATGATATTTGTCTTTCAATAGTGCTTTGTGAAATCTCTTTACAATGGGACCCAGCATTAACAAGATAGTATTTTTCTATTCAATTTATTGACATCTTATTAAATTTTAACCATAGTTGTGCCCAATAAATTAACTATAAGAAGTCTTACTAGGTGGTAGCATTGTAAATTGTAGCTATCTGGAATGGAATATTTGAAAATATGACTTTCATATGCGCTTGTTTCCTAGCCAGACATAGTTTTGGCAAAACAAATATTGAAGTTGCATGCTGCCCTGATATTTTGTTTAGGTGATCTAAGACTCGTGTATTTTAACAGCTCATCTTTAGCTCCAATGCAGTTTTATTATCATTTTATAGCTTTGATGTTAACTTGTGAACTTGTAGTATGTCCTTACGTTGTTCTATAGACTTTGAAATTAAAATAAAATATATTTTAGTATGGCATGTAACAGTTATTTTGCATATATCCACTAATGGGGTCTGGAACTTATTGTGAAGTTAATTTATTTCCTAGTGGATTGCCATGCAAGCCAATTTAAACCTTCTGAGAAATATCTACTAATCATTCTGTAGGGTTAGGCATGACTCACATGAAACTCTTTTATATTCATTATGTTATAAAATATGAAGTGTAACAATAAGCATTTTTCTTGTTGTGGTTCTTGTTTTGAACCATGCAAATTATGAGAACTTGGTTAGTCATTCGAGAGATCTAGGATGATTGTGACACATGAACCTATTTTGGATGGGGCATAAATAACTGACCAATTAATTTGGCGCCAATGTTAGTGGACATCATGCTTGGTGTCTAGCAGAAAGAGTCTCATAATATATATTTATAAACGCCAATAACCACCATGGCAGTTTGATAGTGTATTATATAATTGCATTAGTCCATTTCTTCGTTATCCATTAGTGCATTAGGGTTTACGGTTTAGGGTTTAAAAGATATGGTTCTATACTATGAATGATTAGCATGCGTAATTTATCATGTCACAGCAAAAGTCATCAGAACATAACATGATTCATTATAACTGAACCAGTTAATCATCATAAATGCTTAGAAAATGTGTAACATTAACAAAACCGTGACAAAATCCCCTTATATACACTGGTAAATGATTTGTTTTCCTTCCACACATGATGTGTTCGTTGAAAAAAATAACTGAAATAGTCTGGTTTTGCATGCTTTTATTCAACCAGGCTTTGCTCTATGCTGTTGGGTTGGGAAAAGGTGCAATTCCTACGGCTGCTGCCATCAACTGGGTGCTAAAGGATGGCATTGGGTACCTCAGCAAAATATTCTTATCAAAATATGGTCGTCATTTTGATGTAAACCCTAAGGGATGGAGGTTGTTTGCAGACCTACTAGAAAATGCTGCATATGGAATGGAGATCATGACTCCTGCTTTTCCTCAAACATTTGTTTTGATTGGATCGGCTGCAGGGGCTACTCGTTCTGCGGCTGCTTTGATACAGGTCACTTCTTATATTTCATGTACTATTTTTTAATTACTTGTCAACTTACATGTTCCAACCCTTTTACCATGGCTATGCTATTTTTATAGTTGATGCATGTCAACCCCCATTTTCCTATGCTTTACTAATACATGATAGTTCCATGTTTCCCTACCTATTCCTACTCATCTGCTTTGGAATATTCTTTGTAAAGTTGAAGATAATGGCAGGCTGGTGGAATGTGCATCATTAAATCATCAGTTTTTGAATTGCAATTTATTTATTATTATCAAGTAATCCATTTCCTATGACATATCATATTCACGCTAAAGTTTAATGAGTTTTCCATGCTATATTTAATGATAATCAGGCAGACATAGGTGTAATTGCATTACAGTTCTTTTATGCTGTAATTATTTGTCGGTGGTTTCATTTGCTGGGCAGGTTTTCTGATCTTCTTTTTGACTATCTACATATACTTCAATGCTTTGGGAAGAGTTCGGCTTGTTGGCCTTTATTAAGCCTTTCTGTATGTCTCTGTTGGCGTGTCTTATTTTATGACATGGTTTCTTTTTTTGACATGCTTTTTCTCGGTCAATGTTTCATTTGGGACAAATAAATTTTCTTGTGTGTTGGTACAATCTGGCTCTTTTCATTTTCTTAAGAGTTTCCATTCTCTTCTTATGCTGTTTCCTAGGTCGATATCCCTAACGTTGATGCCCATGTACCATAAGGGATCAGACTCCATGTTGTTCCTGCTGTGATATAATTTGCTATAATAAGATATCCCAAATTGATAAAATACATAATAAACGGACCAAAAGCTTGCAAAATACATTTGAATGACTGTACAGTACACATCGTTTTTAAAATACAGAATTCCTATTTGCAAGTTTTGTCACTAGGCTCACTGAATTATGATTATTATCTAATTCAGGAATTGATGACCCCAAAATAATTGGAATAAGAGTAATGATAATGATGATGCAATTCGGAAATTGCAATTTTTGTGTGTTTGCTATGAATTTAGTTATTTGAAACTGCTACTGGACTAAATTTTTGCTTGTTTCTTAGCAGGCTGCCACAAGAAGCTGTTTCTATGCAGGTTTTGCAGTGCATAGGAATTTTGCGGAGGTAAGTCTATACATGCGGATTTCTATCAGCATTTCAATGCCTAATTATTTTTTTTTTATAATGATGACTGTTTGCCAAAACCTGTAACTTTGTGATGTCAAATTTGTTCCCTCCTATTTTATGCCTGATCACTCCCGCCTGCTTGGGCTGTCTATGTGGATGCTAGAAAGGTAGTTTGAGATCTTTGTCTGTTTCTGCTTTCCATTGTGCTTCAAAAGTTGTAAAGTTTGGTTGTGATCTCTTGAACTTGACACGTTCTGTTGGCTTAGTTTTTATTTGTCCTCCAATGTAATAAACCCCAATGGCTGTAGGGGATCATTTGGGGTGGGGCTGTAGATGATTTAAACTGTGCATGTGGGCTGATGGTAAGGCCAAATAAAAGACTCCATTTTCTTCGCTTTGTTTTATAGTCCCTATAAAGGTGGCCTAGTTAATAGTCTATCATCAATCCTCATATATTCTTATGTTCTGTGTTTGCTTTGTAATCAAGCTCAATTTCATTGCTCGTGTATCCTTGCAGGTTATTGCAAAAGGTGAAGCCCAAGGAATGGTAAGCAAGTTTGTTGGCATCATGCTTGGGATAACGTTGGCTAACTGCATTGGTTCCTCCACTCCAATGGCTCTTGCTTCTTTTGGTGCAGTAACTGCAGTCCATATGTACTGCAATATTAAATCATATCAATCAATTCAACTGAGGACACTGAATACTTATCGTGCAAGTAACAGCTTTTTCATCCTTTTTTATTCTTTTTACTCATTTTTATGCAAAAAATTGATGCCAGACATCTTAGAATTTTGGGCTTTCTAGAGGAATTTAGAATGAGATACATAAAATCTTGCTAGTAAGGACAAATGGATGTAGTCCCTGATTATTTAATTCAGATAACAATTCTTCTCTTTTGATAAACTAAAAAAAAATGCATATAATTTACCCCAAAGAGTAAATTAAGGACTCCAAAACATAAAATTTACCAATGAGATTCAAGTTTGACAAAAATAAAAAGATGACAAAAACCACACTGCAAAGATTTGAACACATAAAACCATATGTTGATAAAAAGCTAAAATGGAAGAAATTCACCAAATTAGAGATTCGTGCCTCACGTCAATATAAGGTGATGGCTTATCTTGGAAGATGTCAATCAACGCTTGGATTACTTTCAAATAATTGACATTCAATAAGCAAGCATGCTTTAGAATAAAGCATGAATTTCATTAACCAATTTTTCTTTGTTCACGTGCATTAATATTCCCTTTTATAATCATAAAAAGTCTGTCTGTTGGCAGACGATTGAATCTAAAACCTGAATTCCTCATGTTTTCTATAGCACAAATCTCATGAATTACTGTAAATTAAGTTCATAATATCACTTAGATCACAAGGAACATCTGGAAATTGCTTATTCACGCTTCAAATAAAAATGGATTTTGTACGGGATCTAGTCATAGGCAACAATGAATAAATAACTTCAATATCCAAAATCAACACCTCAAGAAACAACAATTAGCCATATGAATACATTAATAGTGAAGATGCATCGACAGAAATAGCATCGAAACCAAAATTAACAGTAAAACAAACCTCTACTGAGAATCATAAAACTAGAAGTGAACTGAATTAAACCAGCCTGGACACTAGAGAACGCTTGTTCCTCCCAGGGGCCAGAATAATGCTTAAATCATCAAATTTCTTGTCTCATATTTTTTATTTTCATTAGTATAAACTTTCAAATTTTCATTAAATTATCATGTCTTAAACAACTAATTTTTAAGAATTGAGTAATTGATATTCGTCAAGCAAATTTGGGCATACCTATTGTTCTTGCGTGGTAAGCTAAAATCAACACTAGCAGACCTCTCATACTACAAATACATGTGATATCAACTATTTGTAGTGGACATAATCAATTTTGCTTCTATAACAACATGTAATATGATGCGGGAGTGTCATGCAAATTCGTGGACCAGAGATCCCGCAATTCCGATCGTGGGAATTCTGCTATTCAGCGATGTGGTGCAGGAACTTTTGCAATACCACGATTCCGTGGAATCATTATGAAGCCCTATGATTGCAGGTTTAAAGCAGAAGACCGACTCTCAATTTTTAGCATGGTTTTTTTCCCTTTTTTGATTTCTTTCCTATATTTCTATTTTTTATTGGATTACTTTTTGTTAATGAACTTTTTTATATGTCGTAGGATTTTGTTTTAAGTATTTTGGAGTTTATTCTCTACTTTCTGTCTTAAAAAGTGTTGTATCATCTTCTTTTTATAAATGTTGTGCCTGTAGCTTGTGTAGGAATAGGCGGCGCATCCTCCTCGCCGCCCATATCTCGTTGTTTCTCCGTTCGACCACAGTTTTCAGCCCAGACAACAACTGAATCATTCAAATCTGCAGTCCAACAGCAGATTTCGTTTCTTATACCCTTAAATTGCTATCCCACGGTCACCTCCCCACTCAGTCCACTTCTTAAACTCTTTCTAAGAGCTCTAGAACAGTGTCATTTCATATTAGAGCCCGAAAAATCCTAAATTTTTTCTTAAAGACTTCTCTTCGTTGCTTCTAAGCCAAAAATGCACCTAACCAAACTTAGTACCTCTATAAAAAAAATATTTGAGGACAAGTCAGGATTTTGGAGTGAAAATTAACTTTGTAGATTTTGACTGTTGTATGAATCTGAACGAGTTCATTGAATTTCTCTAAGTAGTAGAAGGAATCTTTGAGTGCGAGGAAATTCCACTGGATAGAAATGTAAAGCTAGCCATCATTAAGTTGAAAAAGAGTGCATCGTTGTGGTGGGAGAATCTAAAGTGTCTTTGATAGCGAGAAGGGAAAAGTTAAATCACTACTTGGTCCAATATTAAAAGAGTGATGTCGTGCAAGTACCTACCAATTCATTACATATAATACATGTTCTTGATACTTCTTCACTAACAACAACAAGATCTCTCAATCGAGGAGTACACAATTGAGTTCTAGCAACTTATACTGAAGGGTGAGCTAGTGGAGCCCGAGAAGAACACCATAACTCGATATCTTAGGGGATTGAGACTGTTCATCGACAACATGATACAATTACTACCTTAATGGATATTACAGGATGCCTAGATCCTAGCCCTGAAGGTGGAGAGACAACACAATAGTATCAGGTTCACACCACCCTTCAGGCAAGGTTCAACTATCAGATCAAGCAATAAGAGTAGACATAATCGAGCACCCTAGATAATCCCACCAAAGGAGAAATCAATCTAGAGTAGAGAAAAAGTGAAGCCCACAAGCACTCCCAAATCCGTCCCAACCAAGAAATGCTAAGTGTCGTGGTTTTGGGGCACATTGCATCATATTGCCCAAACAAGAAGACAATTTCATTCACATAATAGAGAGCAGTGAAAATATAGGCAATGACACTGGAGACACTGAAAAAATTGATGACTTAAAGGATGACTACCGGTTCTTAGCAAATGAGGGAGAGTTAGTAATTCAACAAATCCTTTAGATTGAGCCGGTGATAGAAGCATTACGTGATTAACATATTATAAACGTGATTAACATATTATAAATATGACTGAATCAGGTAACAATGGATTTTCAGGATTGTCGAGTAACAACTTATCTCTCAGGTTGCCACTACTAAAGGAGGTCCATCATGTTATCACTTCAGATAGGAGCGGGAATTTTTTCAGCAATTTTTAAAAGTGCCTTTGTAGTAAGCAGGGTGTTAAGTCCCAATTCATTTCATTCGCGCACTCATAAATAGATGACCTGAAAGGAGTAGTGAACCGTAACTTTGGAGACTGATGCGAGGACTTACGGGGAGGCCTTGCCTGACTGAACCAGCCAGTGGGTACCCTTGGTCCAGCAAGAGGCTGAACTGCCCCCCTTCTCTCCTCTTTCATTGGACAGGAATTATTCCCTCATTCCTTTTCTTTTTTCTCCCCTCTATATCTATTATAAATATGCGTGTTTGTTGTCATAGGGTTTAGTTTTTTCTTCCCGATTTCAGAATTTTGTCCAACTTGTCGTCAGTGGTTGTTTTCTCTTCTAGGGCTGAATCCAAAGTCGAGAAGGTGCTCCGGTTGTAACTCGTCTGGGGTGATGATCTTCTCCAAAGATTTGAGGGATGCCTCAACTGTAACTCGATCCTGCGGGGATACCCATCTTTCCCAACTCCCCTCCTCAGTCCCCCTCTCTTGTTTCCAATCGCTCCTCTTTGCCGCCGCTACCTTATCCACACTTCCTTTGCTCCCAATCTCCACCGCAACTACCTTACCCACACTTCCTCTGCGTCCAATCTCCACGGCCAGGTCCACTCCCTGATGCTGTGCCATACCTACACCAAACTCCTCGTGTTCCAGCCCACTCCCTTATGCCTGCTGCAACCATCCGGCCACAGGTTGATGTCCAAACATCCCTCATTGCACCGTAATTCCATCCAGTTCATTCCACAACTGCTGTAACTCCCTCTAACACAGCTCGTTACTACCGCAAGCCCCAACCAACCCTCCCCCCCTGTCGTCCAACCGCTAGCCGCTAACCACCACCCCCCACCCTCGTCCTTGCCCTAGGGTGTTGTTTGTGTTTGTTTGTTGCTTATTTCTTATTTTGTTTTCGTTGTAATATTTTAATTTGCAATAATAATTTCATTTCTATCGTAGTTTATGTTAACTCCGGTATCATAAATCTTCTTAGATGTTTCGTGGGAATTAAAATTCAAAAGTGGGATACAGCTTCTTTCTAGAGATGAATAAGAAGTTTCTTCTAGCTGGGGAGAATCACACAAAAATTGTCTTGCCAAATTCACTGGATTGCAAATCCCGCAATCTCGATCGTAATAGTTCCATGATACTTGAAGAGGATGCCAGATTTTGCACTGTTTGAAAATTTTCTGCAATTTAGCACCCTATAACACTCACGATTGCGGGAATAACAAGACCCAAGAACCTTTTTATTTGCATCAAATTTTCTTCTAAGTTTCTTCCTTTTCTGGTTCTTTCCTATTTCTTTACTTTCTAAATAGGTTATTTGCTATTAGAGAACTATTTATATGTTATTATTTTTTGATTTTGGAGACTTTTGGTTATTGTCGTTGTTTTGGAGGACGTTCTCTGTTTTATGGCGTTATCTTTTTCTTTTGTAATTGACTTGTCTGTATCTTGCTCAGGAATAGGTGGTGGAACCTCCTCGACCTCCGTACCACACCATTTTGTTGTCATCCTCGCTGTTTTCAGCTGGGATAGCCGTTGATTGACACCGAATCTGCTGTCGAACAGCAGATTTCGCATCCCACCCCTTCCAAGCGCTGCCAAACTCACATATTATCTCCCCACCCCTCCCTCTTTCATCCCACCGGGTAAACACCTTCTGGGAGCCCTAGAATGATATCATGGAGACAAAAGACTTCTTTTTGTCACTGACTTCATGACATTGTCTTGTAATGTCTGACTTTGAGTTTCTTAACTCGTTTAGATTTATGTGGAGTTGGACTTCGACAACCTCACAGATTTTCATTTTATATTTAAAGCTTTCATTATGGCTAATCTTCTCCATTGCAAAATGCTATGCGCGTGTATTAACTTTTCCTGCAGTTATGTGAAACTCCTTTTCTGATACCTGTTAACAGCATGCCTGTGTCAGTGAAAATTATCATATTGTCATGTAATTTGTATGGTTATAATTTCTTTTGTGATGCATGTGTTGAGTGTTCAATATTTTTATTTTTGCAGTTTGTCTTATGGTATTTTTTTTTTTATCCTGAATAGGGCTAGTTTTTAGTGAATATCTATGGGGCGGGGTCCCTTCTATAAAAGAGGTCAATGATGAAGAACCATTCTTTATCAATCTGCCATATGCCAAAAAAAATATGCATAGAGTAAGGAGGCCGATACCTTTTTTTATATTATCTTGATCTCTGATATGCTTTCAATATGTGCTAACAAAGTTTTTGTAGGCAAGCTGTCATCTGATGCTTATAGAGTCTTAACTTGTTTAACTTTGTTGGCTTTCTGTGATATATTGAGTCATAATTTAACATCTTTTATGACTTTTGATAATTGAAGTCTGCATCCTATTGCTTGTCACGAAGTGATGATAAGTTAATGGCGATCTAACTTGTGATTTATTTAAAACAATCACTGGTGGAGTGTCCCCTTCAAATTGTTCTTGTGTTAGTTTACGTCTTTTTTTTGGGAAGCCTTTCTGTAAGAGGCATGGGCTCATTCATATTCTCAAGTTGTCTATTACTTTGTGGTGGAAAGCATACATTAAAGAGTAGTAAATTCAATTGAAACAAGCCTTCATTTAAACATCATCATAACATAATAATATATGAATATATTGACCACTATTTATAGAGTATTCCATGGTAACTCAAATGCTAATGGGAAAGAAGTGAAGGAGATGGGGTAGACGTTCATGACATGGGGGTAGAAGAGTGAATGAATTTCCACAACTTTTTAAAGCTTACAATGTTTTCCAAGGGAGAGAAATGCCATAATTTTCTTCTTTGATATCTTTTACTTTTATCATTTTTCTACTTTGAGTAGCTTCTACTTTTAGAATTAGCTATTGTTATTAATTTCTATTTCCTTTTTTTAGCATGAGAATTTTGGCCTTCCCCTGCTATTTATCTTATAAACATGTCTTAGGAAAATGAAGAGGAATAATTATTTTTCTCCTCCAAAAAAACTAGTAGGTATCAGAGCCTAGCTTAGCTTTTGAAACAACGACCTAATCCCGTTGAGATGTTCGTGGGTTTTGTTCTCCACAACCGGCCCCTATTTATATAGTCTCGATTATAGCTAGCTAGGAAGGCAACAACTAGGATTGTGGTTGGGAAGGCAACAACTCGATCACGGCGTTCGAAGACCCCTCGTAAGACAGTCGCAATTAGAGCTTGTTGGGAAGGAAATGGCTGGATTGCGAAATTCGGAGACCCTCAAAAGGCAATGATTGGATTGCAACAATGACTGAATAACAACTTCCTCACAATTCCATCGTTGAGGGCTTTAGACCTACCACGACACAGAGCATTTCAATTCCTTGTCACATTTCTTTGACGCTCGAAGTTGTGTCTCAGTGTGAGGTTTCTTTTCGATTGGTATTTTCTCCGCCACCTTTTCTTTCTTCTCTTTCTCTTTGCCTTTTTTATTTTTTTGGTGGTGGCCTTCTCGACGGCGGGCTTCTTCTTTGCTGATTTCTTCTCAATCTTCGGTGCCATTAGAATTTGTGATTTAAGGAATATACTACTTCTTATTCCTCTAGTTTTCACAGAGAAGGCTTCTATTCTCTAGTGTCGTGAACCGGAGAATCGAACCGATCAGTAGTAAGCCCATCAATTACTTAGTCTATTTCAACCCCTTGGGCTTCTTCGTTAGAGCTACCAACTCCTCTACTCAGCTATAAGCACCTATATAACTCGTGATCGAAATCTACTCAACTTTTCACTCATCATCTTCTCTCCTCTGATAATATCATACAAGTTGCAAGCTTCATGATCAACCCGCAAATTGGAGGCCAAAATTTAAACGTGAAAGTCAGACCTATTAACCTATTGTTAATGAAATTCAAGAGTCTTTTACCAACCAGATGAAATACCTTTCACCAAGTAACAATTAGAGCATCTGCACAAGTTGTTTCAATCTCCGTATTTATCACCAATTCTATCTTACTATTCAGTTCAAAAGGGTAAGTCTCTAGCTATTTCATTATTAGGTGTTAATCATAATTTTATTTATTCTTGGATAATTGATTTTGGTGCAACCGATCTGGCTGGTTGTTTGAAATTATTCTCATCTTATAGGTCTTGTGAAAATGATAAGATTGTCAAAGTTATTGATGATTTTCTCTTGGTAAATGTTGGGATAGGAACTATCAAACTTATCTCATTGTTAATCCTTTGTGATGTGTTCAATGTTCTCAATTTGTCCTGTAATATATTGTCCATTAACAAAATTACTTTTGATTTTCAGTGTCAAGTTAATTTTTACTCTTTTTATTGTGAGTTTCAAGAATTTTTCATTGGGAGGATGATTGACGATACTAAGGAATACGATAGCCTCTATTACTTTGACGATGACCTTAATGCGGATAGAAAAATTACTTGTTTAAATTCTTGTTTTGTTTCTAAACACAATGATATTATGCTATGTCATTATAGTTTAGGTTATCCTAGATTCCAATTTTTAAAATTCTTGTTTCCTAGTTTATTTTAAAATAAAAAATTATCATCTTTTCAATGTGAAGTCTGTCAGTTTGTCAAACATCATGTTTTTGACTTTCCAAATTAGAAACCAGCTATATCTTTTACTCTGATTCATAGTGATATTTGGGGTCCTTATAAACATCTTACACTTAGGAAAAAAATAGTTTGTTATCTTTATTGATGATCAAACATGATTAAGTTGGGTGTATTTAATGAAAATAATTTTAAAAAACTTTTACACAATGGTACAGACACAATTTCAAAAAATTATTTAAATATTTCAAAGTGATAATAACCAATAATATTTCAAAAATATTTTGGGTCAATTTTTTCCGAAAAAGAAATAGTTCATCAAAGTTCTTGTGTCGACACACCACAACAAAATGGTCTGACTGAAAAAAAAAAACACTTATTGGAAGTAATCCAGACTTTGCTATTTACAAATCAGGTGCCAAAATATTTTTGGGGTGAAGTCGTTCTTATTGATACATTTCTTATTAAATAGACAACCCAATAAAGTTTTGAATTATGAAAAACCTTTTGATATTTTTCATAAAATTTATCTAACAATTATGCTTTTATCTTCTTTTTCTTTAAAAATATTTGAGTGTACTGCATTTGTTCATATTCAGTCATAATCAAGGAAAACTTGAATCCCGAGCCATTAAATGTATGTTCGTTGGTTATGCTCCTATTGGAGATAAATATTTTAATCATATTTTTAAAAAATGCTAGTTTCCATGTCACTATTTCTGAATCACAACCCTTTTTCACCTCATCTTCTTGGGGAGAGAGATAAAACATAGATTCTACTATTGATTTTCATAACTTTATTCAAATCGGAGATGCAAAATAATATCTCCCTAACATGAACATCATTCAACATGAAAATTCAAGTTATATTATATTAGGAGAAAATGAGTCGAGTTTTTTAGATATTGACAATGACATCTAATGATGTTCATAATCCTATAACAACTAACAAAGAAGAAACATAAAAAATAACGACATTGACACCATTTGATATTGTCTACTTGCGACAAAGGACAACTCAAAAAAGTCTTTGAATCGTTTGCATTGTCCAATATTCATGAATTCTTTAGGTAATGTCCTCACTGAGCTTTTAACCAATGATCAAGTCCACTTTCGGGGTCTGAGCTTCTAGTCCTAAACCTGAGTCTAGTCGTTATCTTAAATCAAATGATTCCAGTCATCTTATTATTGCTTGTAAGGCGGATGAGATTTGGCTCCAAACATCCATTATCTCATTGTGTCATATAAAAATCTTTCTCCCATATTTTTGAGCTTTTACTACATTTTTGTTGTGTATGGAGATTCCTAATACCATGCAGGATGCTCTGAAGTTTTCAAGTGGAGTGAGACTGTCTTCGATGACATAAAAGCTCTGAAAAAAATTGCACATGGAAATTCATTGATCTACCTACAGGAAAGAAAACTGTCGGATGCAAATGAGTGTTTACAATCAAGTATAATTCTGACGACTTTTTAGAACAGGACAAGACTCGACTGGTTATCAAGAGATTCACTCAGACCTATGACATTGATTACTTAGATACATCTGTCCAGTCGCAAAATTAAATTTTATAAGAGTTTTTTGTTACTTGCAGCTAATCTTGATTAGCCCCTACAACAGTTGGATAATAAAATGAATTTCTCAATCGAATTTTTTGTTATTATCAGCCCAATGAAATCTGTTAAAAAACCTCTTAAGTTTGTTCTGCACCCCTTTCTGTATTTTCCTCACTTGCATAGAGTGACGGGGAATGGAATTAAGTACACTTTCAAGAAGTGTAACATTTCCACTAAATGAAAGGAAAGAATTTTCCCATGAATGAATCCTTTGGCTGATTTTCTGAATAACCTCATCAAAGAATCTTGCTCTTCTTCTCCCTTTGTCCAAGCGAATTTAATAGGCAGTTTGGCTTTGGAAAAACCAATAAGACCCTTTAGCCAAACCTTTTTTTTTCCTTCATAACACCATTACCAGTGATAAATTGACATTTGGATTTATTCCTCAAAGTGCTGAAGCAGATTTCAAGTCCTAGAAGTAACTTTGCTAGTGTTTGACAAGATTATGATGTCTGCAAAAACCAAGTGAGAGTACGACATCTACTTTTAGAGGCATATTGCATACCTCTATTTCTGCTTTGTAATTTTTTCAAAGCATTTGAGAAGTAGTCCATGGCCAGGACAAAAAGAATGGAAAATAGAGGATCTCCCTGCTTTATTCCTCTCACAGCTTTGAAATAACCTTGAGCTTGAGGGTGAGAGGGCAGAAAACAGAAGAACCTCAAAACATTAATATGAATTCCCATTTGATACTATCATAAATTTTGTGTATATCATGTTTGAGAACCAGATTTCCACCCTTGCACTTCTTGTAAATGTCCACTATGAGTTCTTGAGCAGTTAAAATGTTATCTATTATATTCCTGCCTTTGATGAAAGCTAATTGATGGGGGCTGACTAAACCATTCATAAATGGCTGTAGTCTGTTAACCAGAATTTTGCTGATTACTGAACTTAAACTAATAGGTCTGAAGTTCTTCCATCTGGTTTTATCATTGCCTTTGTGGATTAATGTGATTGTGGAGGACTTGAAAAATCTGTTCATTTCAGCACCCCAGAAACTACTTTGTATAGCTTTTACAAAATCATCCTTGATGATATCCCAGGAAATGGTATAGAAGTCAGCTGTGAATCCATCTGTCCCTGCAGTTTTATTCTCTTCTATGGCTTTCAGACCTTCCAGGATCTCCTCAGGTGTAGGTAATCTAACCAGATCAGCATTATCAATTTGCATTGTAACATTCCCCAGATATTTTTTGTTCAACTCAGCACAATGATTAACGTTGGCAGAGAATAAGTCTTGGAAGAAATTTACATCACTTGCCACAATACCATCTTGATGATGATGCCATCCCTGCACCCTATCATTAATCTTAGCAATTGTGTTTTGTTGCCTCCTGGATTTGATACATGCATGATAGAATTTTGTATTCCGATCCCCATCATTAAAGCTTTTGACAATTGCTTTCTATTCTTTGTAGCTCTCCTCCATGTTCATGGCTTCTAAGAGATCCGGATGGGCCTGCACATGATCCCCCTTAACACAAGGATTCCCACACACCTCCTTTTCCAATTTACAAACTTTATCTTCAACATATTTCACCTTGGTTGTAATATCACCAAAGACATTCCAATTCCAGCTTTTAAGCTTACTCATCACATTCATGGGTTACCATTAAAAGTAGTATATCAAGCATCTTTAATGACTTCTGGAAATCCTTGTGTTGTATCCACATATTAAGGAATCTGAATGGAGCTTTGCCCGTTTTTTGAATATTCCGAAGGTTAATAAAAAAGGGACATGGTATGACACAGTTCTGCTTAGATGGGTCAACTGAGAATAATGAAAAACTTCCTTCCAATCAACATCAACTAAAATTCTATCTAGCCTTTCAGAGAGCCTACCTCTATACCAGGTCAAAGGGCAACCTGAAAGAGCAACTTCAAACAGGTTTGCATCACAGATAGCATCATTAAACTCAGTCATAATCCCTGGATTTGGTGCACTCCCACCCAATTTTCAGCTGCAGATGTAATCATATTAAAATACACACCAAGTATCCAAGCACCACTAAGATTGGAGCTCAACCTCCTCACATTTACCCAGAGCAGGTTTCTGGACTCCATAGAACATCCAGCAGAGACCACAGTACAGTGAATCAGCACCTCATCAACTGCAATTTGCAGATGCAGAATTGATAGTCATTCAGAAGCACTTGAATCTCTACTTCATTCTTCTGAAGTACCTGAATCTTATTACCGCAATTGGCCACTGAATTGAGTCTCCCCAACTTTTTTATGTATTAGCAGCTGCAACAAATGGTTCTAAAAGAGCAAAAAATTTAAGCTTATGAATCTTTACCAGATTTCGGACCCTGTTAGATGCATTGGCCTTAGCAATGCCCCTAACATTCTAAATCATCATTAGATGCATTAGATAAAGATTTCCCTCTTCCAGATGGCCTAGATGAAGTTTCTTCATCCATAAGTAGAACATGGCTCAATTTCTGTGATCCTAGTTGGGTAGAAAGTTGTTGTAAATTTTTAAGCTCCCTCATACCCTTATTCTCCCATTTTTTAGTTTTTTGGATGAGCCAGTCATCTTCCACCTGTTGCCTTGCTGATTCTACATCCTCAGCTTGCACAGTATCATCCTCCTCATTCCAATCCTCCAGTGATGTAGCCTGCATAACGACCAATTTATTTCCATGTCAATTTTCACCTGAAATATATGCTCTGATACTGTTAGATCAGTGTTTAAATTAGCATGTTCCTCATCAGAATCTGTTGAATGAAAAGTTGTTTCCTGGTATTCGATAAAGGCCTGCCGTGTTTTGCATTCATTGTTCACCTTGGAAATGTTTCTGTCAAAATCTTGTTGATTCATCAAACCAATAATCTATATGACAGCTTCGCTCCTCGTCTCAATCTGGTTATCAGTTTAGCTTTCAATTTGAGTCTGCTGTTCTAAATGCTCCTCCTTAAACAAATGCTCATTTCCTTGTGTAATTTCTGCCTCAACATTATCTTCATTGCCTGCCATCGTATCCTGACCAACCAAACCATCACTGGAAATGTTTTAGCAGCTCTTCTGCTGCATAGGCTCTCCTGAACTATGGATGAGCAACATAACATTGCTCCAGGGTGTGCCCAAACATCCTAATGTAGGCTTTTGTTCCACTTCAACCTTTTGACAATAGCCAATCTTGGGGGATCCAATCCATATATCATCCGCCACAGACATAGTTATATCCCTTTTCTACTAATACTCTAACAGAAGAACGCCTAATAAAGTTGAAAGTAGACATGTAAAATTTCATATGTAGTGGTCAATGGGTGGTAAAAAGAAGAGTCAAATTGGATCACTGTTTGGGGCTAGCTCAATGCTCATATTTATATATAATCAACATACACATGACATAGTATATCACATGGCTCACAACACAAGGTCCATGTCAAATGATTTAACAGCATCTACGTTAAAAAAGATAACATCTCAAGAAGCCCCGCTAACCTATGGTTCATTGAAATGAAAGAATATAAGAAATTACTTGCGACAAAGTAGTCCTAGTTACAAAAGATCTAAACTCTGAAATACTAAACTAAATGTGTGACTTGCATTTTGTTGTTCATATTCATTTAACATGATGAATGAAAAAAAAATGCTTCACCTTTGAGATTTTAGCCAACACTTATGAAGGGAAGCTGTTTTAAAATTTGTTGTGCGCTCCACTCCACCCAAGTTAAATACTAAGATTGGCTTCAAATTATGTAGGGAGTTTATTGTTCACTATTTTGTTAAGTTTTAACTTTCTTTTTTCTTTCTCAATACTTCTCCTCCCCGTCTTTTAAAATTCTTTTTTCTTTCTCAATACTTCTCCTCCCCGTCTTGATTTTTTCTTTGATTTCCAACTTCCAACAGTAACTTTACCCTGGTTTGTGTTTTTTAATGTTTTTCTCAGCGTAACTTTTCTTTTCACTTCTGCAAGTCCATCATGCTATACATGAATCCTCCATTTAAAAAAGTGTTTCAAAGTACAAAAACAAACTAGTAACAATACTTGAGGCAAAATGATACAAGTTCATAAGGCTAAGACTTGATATATAAAATCAAAGAAGCAAAAAAATTGAGGTAGTTACTTGAAAAGAAGATAAGATGAGAAGTTGGAGTGATTACGAAGCTTAGTGAGAAGCTCGAGAAGATCACAAGGTGAAGATTTAAGAGAAGTTTCTAAGAATGGGATTAGTGAAGCATGGAGTTGGATGTGGGGGAGAGAATGGTGGATCTAATTTCATCTCTTGGTTGTAAATATGACTTACCAAATTTAATACTATTCAGCAAAGCATATCTAGGTCTCAACAAAGAATTCATTGATGATCAAATTGATTAGAAGGGAAATGAGAAAATTAAGATGGATGTATGGTGAATGATGAGAGATATAGCTGAGCTGGGAAGGAAAGCAAAAATGAGAGTGCAAAGTTGAGGGGTCGAGGGGGCAAACGTTGAAAAGGACAACTGCATGAGTGTGATTGGCTGGCCTTCATCTACTCATCACAGGCTGATTAGATCATAGTGTGGTGTGTTTTTTAAATCTGGTTTATGTTAATAAAACATGTTTATTATAATGAGCGGATAAAAAAAAAATGTATTGAAAAAAATAATTATTTACCCTAACTATTTCAGCAGTGTTTTCTTCTTCTATTACTTTTTTATTGATAATCAAATATGCATTAAACATATGCTCTCTGGTTTCTAAAGTCAAGAAAAAAAAAAGAGTTATAATGCGTGCTGCAAATTTTAATCAACTTTAATTTGACATTAGAATCTCATTATGGATTGTTGGGTGCTTCACCTTTTTACTTGCACGTTTCCTTTCCCGTGCAGACCTCATCCCAAATTTTGTCTGCTGAAGCCATGGATGCTGCTGGTGATATATGCCGCCGACTTGAGCTGGGATCTAAGCTTAGTGATGCTATCAGCAGCAAAGAAGATGCATTTGCTCTTTTTGATCTGTTCAGAGATGAGCGCTATTTACTTTTGGAAGGGAAACAGAAGTTCCGTGTGAGTACAAAATAAGATGGGGATTTGGACAACCATGCTTGTTTGCCACGGATCATCCACTGTTAGTTTTAAACCTGGTGAATTCTTTATGTAGGTAATACTTAAAGATGACTCTTCGCCTGAAGACATGCTCAAAGCTCTCTTCCACGTCAACTATCTTTACTGGCTAGAGCAAAATGTCGGAATAGCACCAAAAAGCATCCCTGATGACTGCAGATCGGGTGGTAGGCTGCAGATTTCTTTGGAGTATACACAGAGGGAATTCATTCACATCAAGCAAGATGGTTTGCAATGTGGCTGGCTTATAGATGGGCTGATTGCAAGGCCATTGCCAAACAGAGTTCTGCCAGGCTATGATTCCAACTCTGTTGTGCATTTAAGTTGATGTTTCATAAAGTATTTGGTGCAGCAAGTGGTTTTGAAGTTATTGGAAGAAACACGGCTTTCACACGTGCATGAGATTGTAATCAACTTTCGTACTTGTTATCTGATATCTTTTGGTTAGATTAAGGTTTAGCACGCATCCATTGTACTGGTCTAGTATGGGCGTAGCATTTGATATTGCTGTTTTCTTCTCAATGCAGTACATATGATAATTGAATCACCCAGGAGATAGAACCATAGAAGTGCTAATGCATTTCAAAATGTTTGTAAACGAAGCTTACCAGGTCTACCAAAAATCACTTGGCAAGTAGAGTCATTTGCACATATGTTCTTCTGATGGAAAGTTAGCATAAATAGCTCAAATCGATCCTTTTATAGGCATTTATGGAAGCATAAATGTGTACAAGGCGAGCTAGAAGGGCCGCATGCACGTGCGTGCATGCAAAGACAGTACCCAAACATAATGCGTCGGGATAGGGTATGTTTGACCGTATCAAGAACATATCTTACTGCAGGTATTCGACACCTATAATTGAACATAATTGGGTTCAAATACCGAAGATAATTCAAAAAATACATTTTATTAACGACAAATCTGTCCATAATTATACCAAAATATATTCATAATAATATCAAAATATGTCCACAATAACACCCTAAACAAAGAATAACAACAAAATATGTTCAAATTAACACTAAGATATATCCATAATAACACCAAGATATGTTCACAATAACACCAAGATATGTCGACAATAACATCAAAATATGTCCAAAATAACGTCAAAATATGTGTAGACAAATTAGAAAATAACACCACAGATATGTCCATCAAAATATATGCCCAGGATGCAACATAGATATGTCCATAAAAAAATAACAACAAAATAAATACCATCGGACAAATTTGCACTTTTATTACACTAAAATATGTCTAGAATATAGCATACATATCATCACAATAACACCGAATCAACAACAGAATAACACCGTGTTGTCACCAAAATTATCATGTTATACAATTGAGATACTGCCATAGTAACAACAAATTAACACCTCTACATAATCAAATTACCATAAAAAACCTACATGCAAAAACACCAACTTGACATGAAAAAATCTGCATGCAAAAACATCAACTCACAAAACCACTCAAATAATACTATACTAACACCTCAATAATACCTCAATAATTTTACAATAACATCATAATAATATCTCAATAACACCAGTCAAATATCACCACAGAATAGCCATAGCACCACTCAAAAAATTTTACTGTAATGCTGCAATAACAACATAATAACACTTAAATGACATCAGTCAAATTTCACTCAAATAACATTACAGTAACATATCAATAACAGCATAAAAATACCTCAATAACACCAAGATAACATCACAATATCACCGCAAAAACACTTTAATAACACATCAATAATACTTTAATAACACTATAATAATATTGTAATAACACCGACCGAATGCCACCACTTAAGCGTCACAATACCGGTCAAATAATATCACAGTAATACATTAATAACATCACAATAGTACCACGATAACACCATAATAAAATTGCAATAACAACAGCCGAATACTACCACAGAACCGTCGTAGTACTACTCTAACACCAAAATAACACCAGTCGAATACCACCACAAAACCACTACAATACCCCTCAAATTACAGTATAATAACATCTCAATAACACCAGTTAAATATCACCATAGTATCGCCACAATACTAGTCAAATAACACCATAATAACATATCAATAACACATCAATAACATCACAATAATGACACAATAACACAACAAAAATACCTCCACAGAATTGTCACAAAGTGGTGTTATTATGGTGGTACTGTGATTGTATTGTCGTGTTATTAGTGTAATGACATGGTGTTATTATTATGCAATATTATTGTACAGTGGTGTAATTCGTGCCGTCATATTGTGGTGTCATTGTGGTGTTGTTGTGATTGTATTGTGGTGTTATTATGGTGTTAATGTGTTTGTTTTGTGGTGTTATTAGTATAATGACATGATTTTATTGTCATGTAAATGTGGTTGTAAAGTAATGTTATTCGTGTCGCATTGTGGTGTTATTGTGGTGTTATTAGTGTAATGACATGATGTTATTATCATGCAAATGTGGATGTACATCGATGTTATTCATGTCATCATGTTGTGGTGTTATTAGTGTTGTATTGTGGTGTAATTAGTGAAATGGCATGGTGTTATTGTCATGCAAATATAGTTGTACAGTGGTGTTATTTGTGTTGTCATATTGTGGTGTTTTTGCGGTGTTATTATGGTTTTCTTGTGGTGTTATTAGTGTAATGACATGATGTTATTGTCATGCAAATATGGATGTACAGTAGTGTTATTCATGTCATCATATTGTGGTATTATTGTGGTTGTATTGTGCTGTTATTAGTGTAATGACATGACATACAAATGTGGTTGTATAGTGGTGTTATTCCTGTCGTCGTATTGTGGTGTTATTTTGATGTTATTGTGGTTGTATTGTGGTGTTATTAGTGTAATGACATGGTGTTATTGTAATGCAAATATAGATATACAGTGATGTTATTCGTGTCGTCATCTTGTAGTGTTATTATGTTTGTATTGTGGTGTTGTTAGTGTAATGACATGATATTATTGTCATGCAAATGTGGTTGTACGATGGTGTTATTCGAGTCATCGTATTATGATGTTATTGCAGTGTTATAACAGTGTATTGTGGTGTTATTAGTGTAATGACATGGTGTTATTGTCATGCAAATGTGGTTGTACGGTGGTGTTATTCGTGTCATCGTATTGCGGTATTATTGTGATGTTATTAGTATAATGACATGATGTTACTGCCATGCAAATGTAGATGTATGGTGGTGTTATTTGTGTCGTCATATTGTGGTGTTATTATTTTGTATTGTGGTGTTAATAGTGTAGTGGCATAGTGTTATTATCATGCAAATGTGGTTTTATAGTGGTGTTATTCGTGTCATCGTATTGTGGTGTTATTATGGTGTTATTATAGTGTTATTAGTGTAATGCCATGGTGTTATTGTCACGCAAATGAGGATGTATAGAGGTGTTATTTGTGTTATCGTATTGTAGTATTATTGTGGTTATATTGTGATCTTATTAGTGTATTGACATGATGTTTTCATGCAAATATGGTTGTACAGTAGTGTTATTCATGTTGTCGGATTGTGGTTTTATTGCAGTGTTATTCTGGTGTTATTGTCATGTTAATAGTGTAATGACAGTGTTTTTGTCATGCAAATATGGATGTACAGCGGTGTTATTCATGTTCTCGCATTGTGGTTGTATTGTGGTGTTATTAATGGAATGACATGATGTTATTGTCATGCAAATGTGGTTGTACAGTGGTTTAATTCGTGTCATCGTGTTGTGGTGTTATTGTGGTTATATTGTGGTGTTATTAGTGTAATTGACATGAAGTTAGTGCAATGACTTAGTGTTATTGTCATACAAATGTGGACGTACAGTGATAGTATTTGTGTCATCATAATATGTTGTTATTATGGTTATATTGTGGTATTATTGTGGTGTTATTAGTGTAATAGTATAGTGTTATTTTTATACATAATGTTGTGGTGGTAAGATGAAATAGTTTCTTTTTCAATACTAAATCATCATTTCACATGGTTAATTTAGCTATCAAGCTTGCCATTGCACAATGTAGGTAAAAACTATGTGAAACAATTCTTATCTTGATTACGTAAACATTTCAACACAAGTATAACTACACAACCGAAATTACTTGGATGCTCTTTATCGACTCTTAAGCTCTCTATTTTTCCTGTATTCTTCCCTTCTTATATATTATCTTCCTTGAAAACACAAATAGAAGTACATGAGTTCACACCCTAAATCCTAAATCCTTACACAAGATTTGTTTCAGAAAAACCTAAACAACACAAGAATTACATGGCAAAAGAGAGGGACTGCGATGGCCATGTATCCGACGACCGACAGTGCGAGGGATTTCAAACGAACTAAACCCTAGCTACTAAAATTACAGATGAGTAACGCTCTGCGAAAACCCTACCTGATGGCAATAGAAGAAAATGGAGATTGATTAGGTGCAAAGAGTTTTCTTTTTAAAGAAATGGATCATGCATTAAAATATAAGGGAATTTTGATTTCAAAACAATGGGCTGGATTATGCCGGGTCATGCATTAAAATATAGAGTTTTTTATTTTTTATTTAGTGGGTCCGCCATTTACACTTGGTGGAATCTCATTGGAGTCCGGACTCATAGCTGAGTCCAGACTCCTAAGAGACTATTTTCTCCAAAACTTTAGGGCTGATGAGTATTTAAGTTTAAGACTTCCATATCTTTTAAAAAATTAAATTTATTATAAATATTATTATTGACTTAAAAAATACATTTAATGGTAAATTATTATAAAATATTTAAGTTTATGAGACTGTTTTTTTTGTGTATCATATGATATTAATGAATTTATGAAAATTTAGGTGGTGGGTGCCTCCTTAGCCACTCGATTTTAAAATTGCTTGCTTGTGTGATTTTCTCGAACATAAATTATGTTTTATAAAAATAATAATTAAAATTTTTAAATTGGGTCAGACATCAAATCATAGTAAGAAAAGATTTAAGTCGGGGCGTAAGTCAAGCCGACTCGTGAGTCGATTTGAGCTCGGCTTAATAAGTGGCTCGTGACTCGGCTTGTTAGCTCGTGAGCTGACTTGTTTAAAAGACTATTAATATAAAATATACTTGAAATATATAAAATTTTAAGACATTATCTTAAGGTATAAAAAAATAATATTTTGTATTGTATATTAGGCGATTTATTATTATTTATCTCATTATTATTCATTATATTTATCATCTTACTTTAAAGCCAATTTAAATTAATATCATTTTATCTCTTTTATATTAAACAAGCCGGCTTGCGAGCCGACTCAAACCATAGAATTAAGCTCGAGCTTGAGCTCATTCAATAAAATTAACAAAGCTCAAGTTCAAGTCGAGTGTGGCTTGAGCTCTACTTGAATTGCTTACGCCCCTAGGTTTAAGGTTCAATGATTCAATCAAAGTTAAATCGGAGATTGAATTGAATACAACAACAACAACAACAAAGCCTTAATCCCACTTTGTGGGGTCGGCAACATGAATCCCTTTTCTCCATTGCATTTTATTTAGTGTCATATTTCATTTAGTTCTAATAAATTAAGATCATTTTTTATAAAATAAGCCCAAGTCTTCATAGGTCTACCTCGACCATTCCTAATATAAGCTAAATCTAAAACATCCCCTC